TGAAGAATTTCGGAGAAACCACAGCGATCACTCTGTTCACTTTTCTTTTTTGGCTCCTCCATCAGATTTTAGAAGCTTTTGAAATGACATGGTCGAACTCTCTACGGTTTCAGTGGTTAGGGTTAGGGTTTGGTTTATCAATGACGAGAAAGCGATGGAGAAGAAGAAGAAGAAATAGAAAATTGAAAAATGAAAAATGGAGGAGAAGAAGAAGAAGAAATAGAAATTGAAAAATGAAAAATAGAGAAGAGCGATGGAGAAGAAGAACAAGAAATAGAAAATTGAAAAATGGCGAAGAAGAAATAGAAAATTAGATTTGTGGATTGTAAAATTTGAGAGGGAATTTGATTTGGAAATTTTGGGTTTGAATTTTTTTTTTAAACTTTTAGGGCATTAAGTAACGTGGCCTACATGTCACAGGGCACTGACGTGATATATCATATAACGTATTTCGTTAGTTTATATAAAGTTTTTTTTGTAAGAGACTTTGTACAAATAACATTACTGATTAGGTAAACACTAAATACCATTTGTCGGATTACAATACTCTTTTAAGTTTTTATTGTGTTTTGATAGAAATGGTCTGAGGGAAAAAATGTGCGATGGTGACTTTTCAATAGTGTGGATTGGATGTGTTCACAAATGGCTATTTGGGTTGCCTGGCGACCAACATACGGCTGGCTACCTACGGCCTCCAAAGGGCCATAAGTTATGCAACTGCTACCCACGAAGGGCTATAAGTTTTATTTTATTTTCAATTTATTGTATAAAATTAAAAAATATTTTAACTATTCATATATTTATTTTAATTTAACTATTCATATCATTATAACATAGTATATAAAATCGGCTAACAAATATTACTATTTATATAATCAAAATAAAATTATAAAATTGAAAACCTGAAAAGAATATCATAATTAGACAAAGAGTTTTGCAGTCTTTATGTAGTAAAGTAAAGAATTTCATGATACTTGTCATTCTTTTTGAGACTTTAGAGTTTAGAGCATTTGATACTTTTCGAAATATTTGGATGCGTTTATTATTATCTAAACCTTGAGGAGGAAATTTCTATAAACCTGTACCAAAAGAACCAGGACATAAGTACTTTGGCGTAACAAAACACTTAGGACTCTTACAGTTGTCTAAAATGGCGCTTCGAACTCGAATTCTCACTTCCTCTCTGTCCCTACGAATCTTCTCTCCTTTCCTTTCTCTAAATTCTCCAAAACTCTTCTCCACCCAGTGCGACGCCGTCCCGACTCTTTATCTTCCAAAACTGGAGCCCTCAAACGACGCCGATCTGCTCTCCCAAATTCTCCTCACTCATCACAACCCCTTCCACGCCATGGAGTCTTCTCTTCAACTCCACGGCATCTCTCTCTCCCCTCATCTCCTCAACCAAACCCTCCTCCGCCTCCAACATTCTTCCAAAATTGCCCTCGCTTTTTTCCACTTTTCCCAATCTATCCCTCCCCCCCCCGCTCCCCCCACCCTCCTCCTACAACCTCATCATCGACATCCTCTCCAAAGTCCGCCAATTCGACGTCTTTGGCAACTCATCATCCAAATGGACCAACAAAACGTCGCCCCCATTTCCTCCGCTTTCTTGATTTTAATTCGTAGACTGATCGCCGCTGGCCTCACCCGCCAGGCGGTTCGAGCTTTCGATGATATGAATGTTTTGTAGAGAAGGAAGACATGGATGAGGAAGTTAATTTTAGTTTTTTGCTCGCACCTCTCTGTAAGTATGGTTGTGAGAGTGGCGGTTGATGTTTTTCGTAAGAAGAAACATGAGATTATGGAATGTAAAATGTACACGAGTTTGATATATGGGTGGTGTAAAATTAGTCAATTGATATGGCGAGAGGTTTTTGAATGAGATGATTGAGCGAGGGATTGAGCCGAATGTGGTGACTTATAATGTGTTGCTTAATGGGGTATGCAGGAGGCGAGTTTGCATCCTGATAGAGGTTTGAAGGACGATAATGAGAGCGAGAAAGTGTTCGATGAAATGCGTATAGAGGGATTGAGCCGGATGTCACTAGTTTTTCGTTGTTTTACATGTGTATAGTCGGGCGCATAAGCCTCAGTTGACTATGGACAGTTGAAGTTGATGCAAGAAAAAGGGATCTGTCCGAGTGTTGTGACTTATACTTCTGCTGTTAAGTGTCTTTGTTCGTGTGGGAAGCTAAAGACGCCGAGCATTTGCTTGAAGAGATGGTCAGGAATGGTGTTAGTCCTTCGGCTATGACTATAATTGTTTCTTTAAGGAGTATAGAGGAAGGAAGGATGCAGATGGTGCCCTGAAGTTGTATAGGAAATGAAGGAGGACGGTTTGTCGTGCCAAGTGCATAGTTATAATATATTGCTAGGGATGTTTATGAAGTTGAATCGAATGGAGATTGTGAAGGAGATATGGGTGATATGAAAGGAAGTGAGGTGGGTCCAGATTTGGATTCTCCACGATGTTGATTCATGCTGTGTGAGAACACAAAGTGGAAGGAGGCTTGTCAGTTTTTTGTTGAGATGATAGAGAAGGGATTGCTTCCGCAAAAAGTTACGTTTGAACCCTTTATCGGGGATTAATACAGTCTGATATGTTGAGAACAGTAGAAATTGAGAAGAAGCTTGACGAAGAGTCAATAGCATTTGGTTCGGAGTTCCAAAATTATCATTTGAAGCCATATAGGAGATGATGCTCATCAAACAGTGAGGTACCCTTCAACTTCTAATTACAGTTTATTGTAAGTTAGCTTATGAGTCATGAAATAGGAATTTTTGTTATATATATATATAAAAATGTTTACCTTACAAAAACCCATACAAGAGGCCTATGAAGTGACATCATCAAGAAGAAAAATAAAGAAAAAAATGGAAAGAGAGAGAGAGAAAAATCATAAAAATCAAGGGTGGAGATTGTCTTATGCCCCTTTTGTATCAAGAAAAAAAATAAAGAAAAAATGGAAAGAGAGAGAGAGAGAAAATCATAAATCAGGGTGGAGATTGTCTTTATGCCCCTTTGTATGTGTCTTTGTAAACTATCATTGCTTATATATATATATATATATATATGGGCTTGGGTACTCTAATTTGTACTTTCCGGCAAGGACATCAAAAACTTATTACAATTTTTATATTGTAAACCTGTTTGTATGTTGTCTTAAATAGTAAAGTCTCGGAAGTTCGATTATCGAATCCACAAGAAAGTTAGTTAAAGGTTACAAATACACAAACAAGATAAAGAAAGAACTAATAGATGTTCAGAATTTATTGCAGGAAAATTTCAAATTAAAAAGGCTGCTAAGGTTACGAGATCCACTCTCAGCATATCAAATAAGAACAATTTTAACTCTTTAGTAACTCAATTTGAATTCACTCACAAAGGTTGTTCCAATTGGAGGACTTATCAACAAAAACTTATTTTATGTTATAAAAGTAATTGTATAAATTCCCTTTAATTATCTTTTAACATCAACACTTGCAAATAGATTGAAGTATTCAATGTCCCCATCTTTGTTTACAACAAATCAAGATTCCCACTATAGAACAGTCGATTCTTTAAATGGGACTAGGTATTTGTTGTCCCAATAATAGTCCACAATGAATCAAGACCCTCACTTTGCAAGGAGGGTTTATAAATTGATTAAGAAAATAAATACAACACTGATATTTATAACAAATGAAGAATATGAACGTTAAGAGTCACTTTATGAGTTTAGACTAACCTTATTCTTGTGCCAAGAGCTTCACCCTTTTACCCCAGCAAAATGAAAATTAATTAAGCATAATGAAGATGAGGAAGAAGAAGTATAGAGAAGAAATGAACATATCTTGAAATTGAAATAACTTAAGGGTGATGAATAGATTATCACAAGAAAGAAAATAAGAGCAAGGAAAAAAGAAAAGAAAATGAACTTCATTTTCACCCAAAAATATGAGCTCCCTTCAGCATAATCTTAACACCTATTCTACTTAAAGAAAATTTGGAAGAACAATTGTCAACAATAGAAGACTACAAGTTGCATGCAAATTGCCAAATTTAAACTTTTCATATGCACCAGAATTCTGGCAATGGTGCCTTCCTAATCTTGTTCAGGTCTGAACAGAAAAGTTGTAGATAGTTTTCTTATATTTCCGCAGCTTTCAGAATCATGTAATTTGGATACGTATGTTCTGAGATACACTCCAAATACTGAGGTATGTCGGGCTGAGCTTTAGTTTTAGTCCAGTTCTGTTGCAGCCCAATTTCGATCCATCAAATGTTGGATTTGATCTTCTAACTGTTCTTCAACTTTGTAAAGGATTGAATTATTTTTCTACAGGTTCAAGAATTGTTTCGATTCGACTTTTGGATTAAGAGTTATGTCTATGTCACTGAATCTACGTCAAAATGACCATTAAGATTACAGAAGTGCTTACGTTAGAAAAGTTTATAGCACTCTAAATTTATTATATAAACTCTTAATAAATCTACACTTTTAAGTGTAGCATCAGCTCTTATCATAGTTTAAGAATGTCATAAATAATTTTTAAGGAGGGATTTATGACAATTTTAATAAGATTAATACATAGAGATTCATAATTTTAAGGTCATTTTTTTATGAATTTCAGAATGATAGAACTCATCCCATATTTAGACTTGAAAAGTCAAAAAAGTTTATTTCAATTTTTCCCCCGTGAGTTCACTTTTTAAAAAAGTATTAAAAACACCCCCGATAATTGCCAAAAACACCCTTAAAAATATATATTGAAAAAAAAAAAAACCCTTAAAAAGATCTTTCCCTTTTAAGATTATGAAAAACCCCCTAAGAGGAATTTTTTTATTACTTTCTTAACAAAGTGCATGAGTTAATACTAAACAATCTCATAGACGGTAAAATAAAATAAACCCTAATGTTTAAAGAACCACAAGAGAACATTGAGGGCAGACGGAAAAGAATTTACAGACTAGAAAGAAAGGAATTCTGAAAAAAGTATTTAACTTGAAAAAGAAAAGATGTTAAACGAGTAAATTTCATTAAAGAGAGCAGAATGGAGCTCCAAAAGAGAAGCTCGTTGTGATCAAACCAATTCTGGTTCTGTTCTATACATCACTTTTTGTCAAAACTGAAGATCAGAACATTTTACAATTTCATCAAGAAACTAATTACTTATGCACCAATATTCGCCGCCGCTTTCAGGCGCAATTTGTGGAAAACCTTGTGTTATTATCCATCCTGACTGATTATGCACTGATGGAGATCAAAACCAGCCTGCGGATACATTGACTGCAACACAGCTTCAAAGTCAGGGAGGGGGCAAAACTCTTCCGAAAGACCTCTCTTCCAGGACCCAGTTTCTGTCATTAAAGCAAAAATATGGAGAGACTAACCAACTGAAAGGAATGTACACAACCAGTGGAAAAAGAGTTGCACAGTAGCTTTCAACTGAAAACATGGCTAGTCGAAGCTTGATGTTCGACTCCATCTCCCTTGCAAGTAATCTTCTATTGATACAGTTTGCTCAGTGCTACTGATAGAAAGTGTATCGTCATCCACATCTAGAAGTGCAAGGTTCAGATGGGATTGGATATTATTAGGAAATGCTTCACCATCAATGAGATCAAGCTCTTCTGGTGCACCACCTTGTTGCCTTGCCCACGTTGTTGCTTCCTCATCACCTTGAAGAAGTTTTAAAACCTGCCGTGGCCAATAAGCAAAGCATGAATTGGAAAGGCAGAAAATTTGAAAGATTAGTGAAAATTTCTAAAAGAAAGATAACTTACAAGGTTAATTTGAGGCCTAAGAGTGGGAGCTCTTATGATGCATAGTGTTGCAGCCAAAACCATTCTCTCAATCTGATCATTATCAAAATCATGGTCTAAACTTGGATCCAGCAATTGTGAAAACTTGCCATCCTTCAGAATTGGTTTAGCCTAGATATCATCAACAATACCGTTATTACTATATCAACATTTAAATTCAGAATGCTACTAAGCAGAACTATCAGAGGAACACAGCAAGGCAAGGGAAATTCTAGATAGGAAGAAATCCAGATTCATGCATTGAACTGTCATATGTCGACAAATACCCTGATCGTATCAGGTCCGATCAAAACTTTGTGAGTCACTAAAAGCAGTTGATGAGAACTAACATCCCAACCCAAAAATGCATGTAGTCACTCATTTATTTCACACACCAATTTTCATTTTATTCATCTTTTAGCGACAATAAAAAGTATAAAAAGATTCTCCACAGCATATGAAGAAGGCTGAAGTTTAACCATAGAGGTAAAACTTACCCACATAACAAGGCTCTCCTCCCCCCTTGGGTTTTCTCTATTAATCGGCTTTCTACCAGAAAGAAGCTCCAGAAGCACAACACCAAACGCATAGACATCAATTTTGTCACTCACTTTTCCATGCATGAAATATTCAGGGGCCAAGTAACTGCAAGAGAACAAGTATGTTACTAATCATATCTGAAAGTGGAAAAGAAACTAAAGAAGTCAAAGAATAAAATACACACCCAAAGGTTCCCGCAACATCTGTACAACTTAAATGAGATGAGGAAGTTGAAGCCCAGCTGGCTAATCCAAAATCAGACAACTGAATCACCAAAACAGATTGTAGTGAGTTTGAAAAAGCTTCAGCTAAATTACCAGAAGCTGAATTTTGCACAATGATTTAACATACGGCACCTGTGGTTCAAAATCATCTGATAGAAGAATGTTAGAAGATTTCACATCCTTGTGGATGACTGGTTGATCACAACTATTGTGTAGATAATCCAGTGCCTCAGCTACACCCACAGCCACTTTATACCTTTCATTCCAACCAAATGCTATCGCATCCTTCTTATTACCTGAATTAGAAAGCAGGCATTGAGTGATAAGAACATCATAAAATAGTATAAATAATGATATTTTTTTTTTTTTTTTTTTTTCCCGATCCCAGGTGTAAATATTCACCACAACAAAATATTTACCATGAAGGCTCTCTTCTAGGCTTCCTCTTGACAGGAAGTCATAAACCAAGAGCAATTTATTGTCCTCAAAACAGAATCCAAATAAGGAGATTATATTCTTGTGGTGTAAAAATGTAATGATCTCAATCTCCGAAACAAACTCTTTCAACACATCCTCTGATGNAAGCTCGTTGTGATCAAACCAATTCTGGTTCTGTTCTATACATCACTTTTTGTCAAAACTGAAGATCAGAACATTTTACAATTTCATCAAGAAACTAATTACTTATGCACCAATATTCGCCGCCGCTTTCAGGCGCAATTTGTGGAAAACCTTGTGTTATTATCCATCCTGACTGATTATGCACTGATGGAGATCAAAACCAGCCTGCGGATACATTGACTGCAACACAGCTTCAAACTCAGGGAGGGGGCAAAACTCTTCCGAAAGACCTCTCTTCCAGGACCCAGTTTCTGTCATTAAAGCAAAAATATGGAGAGACTAACCAACTGAAAGGAATGTACACAACCAGTGGAAAAAGAGTTGCACAGTAGCTTTCAACCAAAAACATGGCTAGTCGAAGCTTGATGTTCGACTCCATCTCCCTTGCAAGTAATCTTCTATTGATACAGTTTGCTCAGTGCTACTGATAGAAAGTGTATCGTCATCCACATCTAGAAGTGCAAGGTTCAGATGGGATTGGATATTATTAGGAAATGCTTCACCATCAATGAGATCAAGCTCTTCTGGTGCACCACCTTGTTGCCTTGCCCACGTTGTTGCTTCCTCATCACCTTGAAGAAGTTTTAAAACCTGCCGTGGCCAATAAGCAAAGCATGAATTGGAAAGGCAGAAAATTTGAAAGATTAGTGAAAATTTCTAAAAGAAAGATAACTTACAAGGTTAATTTGAGGCCTAAGAGTGGGAGCTCTTATGATGCATAGTGTTGCAGCCAAAACCATTCTCTCAATCTGATCATTATCAAAATCATGGTCTAAACTTGGATCCAGCAATTGTGAAAACTTGCCATCCTTCAGAATTGGTTTAGCCTAGATATCATCAACAATACCGTTATTACTATATCAACATTTAAATTCAGAATGCTACTAAGCAGAACTATCAGAGGAACACAGCAAGGCAAGGGAAATTCTAGATAGGAAGAAATCCAGATTCATGCATTGAACTGTCATATGTCGACAAATACCCTGATCGTATCAGGTCCGATCAAAACTTTGTGAGTCACTAAAAGCAGTTGATGAGAACTAACATCCCAACCCAAAAATGCATGTAGTCACTCATTTATTTCACACACCAATTTTCATTTTATTCATCTTTTAGCGACAATAAAAAGTATAAAAAGATTCTCCACAGCATATGAAGAAGGCTGAAGTTTAACCATAGAGGTAAAACTTACCCACATAACAAGGCTCTCCTCCCCCCTTGGGTTTTCTCTATTAATCGGCTTTCTACCAGAAAGAAGCTCCAGAAGCACAACACCAAACGCATAGACATCAATTTTGTCACTCACTTTTCCATGCATGAAATATTCAGGGGCCAAGTAACTGCAAGAGAACAAGTATGTTACTAATCATATCTGAAAGTGGAAAAGAAACTAAAGAAGTCAAAGAATAAAATACACACCCAAAGGTTCCCGCAACATCTGTACAACTTAAATGAGATGAGGAAGTTGAAGCCCAGCTGGCTAATCCAAAATCAGACAACTGAATCACCAAAACAGATTGTAGTGAGTTTGAAAAAGCTTCAGCTAAATTACCAGAAGCTGAATTTTGCACAATGATTTAACATACGGCACCTGTGGTTCAAAATCATCTGATAGAAGAATGTTAGAAGATTTCACATCCTTGTGGATGACTGGTTGATCACAACTATTGTGTAGATAATCCAGTGCCTCAGCTACACCCACAGCCACTTTATACCTTTCATTCCAACCAAATGCTATCGCATCCTTCTTATTACCTGAATTAGAAAGCAGGCATTGAGTGATAAGAACATCATAAAATAGTATAAATAATGATATTTTTTTTTTTTTTTTTTTTTCCCGATCCCAGGTGTAAATATTCACCACAACAAAATATTTACCATGAAGGCTCTCTTCTAGGCTTCCTCTTGACAGGAAGTCATAAACCAAGAGCAATTTATTGTCCTCAAAACAGAATCCAAATAAGGAGATTATATTCTTGTGGTGTAAAAATGTAATGATCTCAATCTCCGAAACAAACTCTTTCAACACATCCTCTGATGGCTTCAAAATTTTCACAGCAAGTTCCTTGCGGTCCGGAAGAGACCCTCTATAAACATGACTATGCCCACCTTTACCGACCATATTATCTAAAAATAATAATAAAAAGACTAAGTACTATCAAATAGATCCAAATGAAGTTGAACTCAAAAACTAGGACAAATACTGGGGAAAGAAAACAAACCGGGATGGAAATCAGATGTAACCAAAGAAAGTTCCTTGTAGCTGAACAATCTACAGGTGGACGAGAATCTCTCATGTAAATTCTCCAACTCTTTGGGAAATCCATGATACGGTGAAAGAGGATGCATAGCCTCATTATCAAAAGCCACAATTGCCCCACTCTCCCCATCCAACATGGAATGAAGATCCTCATCCGTGCTAACAGATTGACTCTGTTTATGATCAGGATAGACAACAGCAGAAGTATACCGGCTTGGAAGTCTCAGTACCCACTGAATCAAAGATGTCTTGTTCTCGGAAGATTTCTCCAAGTGCTGCTGTTTGGGGGAAAACACCCGACGAAGAAGTGACCAACCATGTTTCGCCCGGGGCAATTCGTGAACTACCAGGGAATTCGAACTTATAGCCACCTCATTGCTTTGATAAGGTACCAATGCCAATGAATTATCCTCATTGCCATCCCCAGATGACTCCTCAGCCAATCGTGTCTTCGAATCACAAGAAGTACAGTTCTTCTTCAGGGCTCTCTTCTTAAAACTTGAACCTGATTTATAAAAGAAGCCTCGACATTGTTTACACGATTTCTCTTCATCTCCAGTAAAATTTCCACCAGTTAAAACTTTCCCGTTCCCACTTAACGATCTATGAACTGATCGATCTTTCTGCTGATAAGCATCTGACATCAACCCAGAAAAACTTTATCAGACAAATCAACCAAAGCCACTAATAACAATAAAAAAAATAAAAAACACCAAGTTTTACTCTTCAATCAAAACTAACTTATAAAACAAATCCAGAAGCAGAACAATCCCAACCTTGCAAACTATCCATTTCAGCATAATTTCCTTCTCTCTGAAACAAAATTTTGCCATTATCAACAGCAAAAACCCAGAAACTTTTAGACAATTTTCTTGCACAGTACTTAGCAACAGAGGCTGATGAGCGAATTGGATGGTGAGTCTTAGAAGTCCCCACAATTAGCTTAGCCGCACCATATGATTTCGCTTCTCTTACCAGAATTTTCTTCACTGATGTCCCTCTACACACTTTCAGCTTCAAATCAACCTATATAATCCAAATTAAAAAAAAAAATCAAAAATCAAAAATTACAACTTTGTCTAGTTAAATCTATATCTCTTCACCAAATACGAATAAATCCTTAAATTAGGATCTGGGTTAAAAAAGAAAAAAATCAGACCTGCTTTAAGTTGCAGAAACCTTCATAAACAGCGAGCATAGAATCAAAAGTCTTCACTAACGAGATAAGCGAACCGGTACTCTCTACAAAACATCACAAAAGAACCCACAAACTTCAGAAACTCTACAAACACAACCCGGACAAAAACAAACTCCAAAATCACAAAACCAAAATGCACTCTCTCTCTCTCTCTCTCTCTCTCTCTCTCTCTCTCAGTCTCTCTCTAACTCTACCAGTAACTCTATCAAGAACATGAAGAGCAACGATACGGTCACCGGGCTGAGCCACTTTGACCAGCGCCCACGTCAGCAACTCCCGACTCTCCGCGTCAAACTTCACTCCCACCACAACCACCGGCCCCGCCTTACCATTCCCCTCTACTTGTCGCCGTCCCTGAAACCAGCCTCATCTCTTCAAAACGCCGACGTGTTGGACCCAATGCAACCGAAACGAAGTATTTTCACTCCACTCACACTTGTGGTGGTGGTGGTTGGTTGTTGTTTTTGTTGTTGAGATGCAGAGAAATAGAAACGGACGTATTGAATGGCCAGAGGACTTGGAGAGATTTCGTGTTTATTTTGTTTTTGGTTTTTAACTGCTTTGGACTGCGAGGATTTGGATTTATTATTTTCCCCACTTGAGTTTTGTCTAACGTCCATTTTCTTTAAGTACTAAAAACCCCTTACATTACAAATCTCCCTAAAAAAATAAAAATATCAAACACACCCTTATATAGTTCCAGAAAAAACCCTAATAATAAGGATGTTTTTATACTTTCTGAACAAATGGATGTGTATTTAGTAAACATTCTCAAATGAGGAAAATCGAATAAACCCACGAAGATTATTGTGATGATTATCGTGTAGTGAATGTTCTGATGACGTGGTTTGATCTCTGGCGTCGGATTAGTGGACTTTTTTTGTGAGGCGTGTTTGTACTTGTGAGATGCTATGCGTTGGAGTTGGAGTTTGGACTTTAATAAAAGGTGTGTAAGTATTGGACACGAGTTTTTATAATGTGAAGTGAGAGACGACCGAAAGTTTCCTATAATATTATTTAGTTAAATAAAATATTTTTTTAAAAACACTTTCAAACCCATAATAATTATTATTTTTGTTTAAAATGAAATAGATAAACTACAGTAGATAAGCATAGTTTTATCTATTCACAATATTATTATTAGAAGTTTGAGTTGAAACTTTTTTTTTCCCAAATTTCTCATATTTTTCGAAAATCAAAAGAAAACAACTGGCCTCAATTTGGAAAGTCTTACTTAAAATTAGTCAAAAGTTTTATTTTGTGATCTTTTCGAAATTACGAATGTAAGAAAATCATGGTTAAGAAAAATTTATCATATATGGATTTGCTTTAAACTTGACTTATGACATTCAATTGGATTTGCTTAAACTTGACGTATATGACATTCAATTTTGTGTTTTATGACATACATAACATATTTATGTTAGGCCATTATAATAATATCTTGTTTATATTGTAAAATTTTAGGGTTTGTATTAGTATATATTGGAATCATTTGAGAATTATAATTATCTAATATGTATTAGTGAGTATTCATATTAAGAAATTTGAATAAAAATAACATATAAAACTACTTTTTAAAGCATATAATGATTGTTCACATCCCATAGACAAAATCAAGATAAAGATATGACATGGATGGTCAATAAATACACTATTAAATGTCATTAATTAAGAGAGATACAATTAAATTAACCTTTCCTCTCCTTTTTATTTTCAAGTTTGTGCTAATTAATGATAATTAATTACTTTGCCATATAAATGTAAAGTTATTAGCTTAGGACAATAAATATTATAGATTACACTGTATAAAATTATTGCCACAAAACAAATGCAAAGGGAGTAATTTTTATACATTTTTTCTCTATAAAATACGTATAAATCAATAAAAAAAATTTAGAAGGACAATAATAATCAAAGTAGGATAAAATTATTTATTTGTCAAATTCTGATAATTTTATGGATTGCCTTAAATTTTAGTAGGTGGTAGTCACTCCATTTACTATTTTAGGGTTCTTTAAATTTTTTTTGAAATTATTATTTTTTTTTTTTGGAAAATAGAAAATGTATTAAAATTTGAGTTTTGAACTTTTAAGATTTGAAATTACATTTGGTATCTTTTTCAAAAAAATATTTCAAAGATAAAAACAATGAAACAAGATCAGTAGAATTTTTGTTTTTATTTTTTTATAATATTTGGAAATTTGAAAATGCAAAATCAAATATATAGGAAAAAAAACATTAATTCAATCTTATGGGTTAGATATAAAGAAGATGGTGTCAAAGGCAAAGTTAATTGAGATTTAATTGAAAGCCAAAAGCATATAAATTACATTTAAACTTATTAATTAAGACCACCTTAAATAAATAAAAACTAATATGGTTTCTTGACTAATAAATAGTGTAATTCACCTACTTGTTTCTACTTTTTCTTACTTTTGGCTTCTACTAAAAGTGTTTTTGTAAATAGTGTTTCAAACTAAAGGATTTCTAGTCATAAAATAAAAGAAGGCAACAGATGCCAAGTCTCTATGTCATTCTCAAAGCAGCCATCTAGATAATGGAAAGTACTTGTGGGTCTACCTTTTCATTTCCGCTTTTTTCCAAAAGTGATTCTCTCAATTTGCCCTTCCCTCACGTCTCTATATTCTTTATTTGGTATTTAACTACTCTTATCTCTCTCACCATATTTTATTTAAAAGAAACTATGACTTCTTACAAGTTAGTGTTCACAAAAATAGACCATTGAATAAATATAAATCATATATTTCTCGCTAGAATATTGGCATTTCCTGTTGTGTATGTAACATATCTACTATCTCATGAGAACCATATTCTAAATATTCACACCATATAGAACCCATTTTCTACATTCAATTACTTGAACTTATGGAAATTTGGGCTTCCCTTTATCTAATTGTTTCCAAAATTAAATTTATGATTTTATGCCAAACCAAGATTCTTTATAGTCTACAAAATGTTTTCTTGAAGCAATAAATAAACCAAAACAACAATATTTTGCTTTTCCCATTTTATAAGAGCATAATATATTTTTTAAATTATAATCTGTTTTATTTCAATTAAATAGCTAAAACTGATGATAAACGTTGATAAAACTTTATTTATATAATGTCCTTTTGCGGCCTTGGCAATAGTACCAAGAAGAATAAAATAGCTTGAGCTCATTAGTATTTGTGAAAAGTAGTCACTCTTGAAATGATAGTATACTTTTAGTCCCTCCCCTATCATTACCAATATGCCCACACCCCTATTTTTTTTTGGGTGAGGTAATTTTATACATAATTTATATCATGTTGTATAGATTACACGGAAGTGTAAATAAAAATGAAAAATATTTGGGAGAATAATATTAGTCTACTCACTCTCTGTCCCTCTTTTTTCCTCCTTTATTTTAGTGAGGGTATTGATAGATGAAACAATGTAACATAAAAATATGGATATGTTGGAGTTTGAACTTGTAGTTATTCATTATAAATGTACATTGCATCACAACCTTTTTTTTTTTTTTTTTTTTTTAAGTTATAATAAAGTTTAGATATATTAATATGACTTTACCTTGATAGAAGTAAATTATAATTAGCCTTCACTTGGAAGGCACGCAAGAGTTTAGTGCAAAGTGCAGGTATAAATTCCATTTGAAGGGTCATTATTTCTCTCCATTTGCCTTTAACAAATTTTTGACAAAGTCAATATCAAAAGGTTATTGTATTTTATGGCTTCGCCTATTTTTTCAAAATAGTGTCATTGATGGTGGACATTCACATCCCAAAGCATTATTGAAGATGACCCTACAATTTTTGGTATTGGGCTCTTCATCCTGGATGCTATATTATAAGCTTGTTATTATTACTTATTATTATTATTATTTTTAAATCCTAGATGATTCTTTAGAAAAAAAAAAAAAAATGTTATTTGTTTTTAAAATAACAAATTAAAAATAGATAACATTGTTTTTTTTTTTTTTTGTTTGTTGTTTTAAAATACCTTTTCAATCGTTAAATCACTCACCAATCAACCCTTTTTAAAATTTTTGATTGATCTTTTTTGTTGATATATGATTAAAATTATAGAATATCTCATTAGTTTTCAAATTCCTTGAAATCAAGTAATCACACCATCTTCTGAAAGCAAATAGTCAGAATCTGGTTAAATTATCAAAATCTTACAAACTTTTTAATAAAAACTCATCTTGTAAATATTAAATCAAATACTTAAAAAAAAAAAAAAAAAAAAAAAAAGAATGAAAATTTATAAAAATGAAAAATAAATATATACTTTATGGATTTGACTATTCAAAGGTGGATCGAGACATAGAGAAAAAATAAAAGTATGAAAACACAAACAGAATGGGATGGGACACACAATATTCTCTAATAAGTGTAAATAAAATGAATTGATTGATGTGGGCAAAGGCTTGCCTCTTAATTTGGGCGGTTATTTACAACTTACAATTAAATTAAATTAAATCATGTGATTTTGCCTGCTAAAGTGAGAGTGAGAAATTGAGAGGTCCTGGCCCTTGTCTTTTCCACCTACTAATTGCTTAAATAATCAATGTTTGTCCACACAATCAACTTAAATTATTGATAGATTTGCAATCTTGATGTCGTCTAATTGTCCATAGATTACATTAGATTTTCTTTTTTCCTCTCATTAATTACAAAAACTTTAGTTTAATTATTAGTGTATACTATTTATTTTGGTGAATGATCATCTGATTGATTTTACGAGTTTGGACATATATAGCCAAATCAATAAATGTAAAAATTTTATTTAACGACAAATTTAGCAGTTAAATCAAGTGACTTACTAATTATGTTTTTAATAAAACAACAAAAGGTATGTTATATTAGATTATACTAAGTTATACTAAACTCAATAATCTAGTATTTAACAATGTGATTTAACAGCATGATTAAAAGCATGTTAAACTTTGTAGTGGCATTCTAACTATTTTTGTCCTCATCATTTTTCATCCAGGGAAGTTAGGTTAATTCACATAATTTTATGGGTATTTCTATTTTTTAAAGAAAACATCAACATTTTAGGAATTGGAATTACTAATGACCATGGAAGAGAATTACTCTTGATTAAGAATTATCGTAGTAATCGTTATTTCCCTTCTGTCCCTTCCAACCCATGTTACCAAAAATAGTAAAACACTAACAATGCCAAATTACTCTATCATCCTTCTCCTCCTTCATCGTTAACACAAAAACAAACAATTATAATATTAATACCAGATTAATGAGGAAAGAAAAAGAGATCTTGATTCATAAAACCAATGAATTTCTTTATTGTTTT